AAAAAAAAAAAAAAAAAAAAAAAAAAAAAAATGTAGACACTTTATTTTTTTCATTTAACCCTTTGGAAAATTAGAAATCTTTTTTGTTTTTTACAAGGGGAGACAGGGAGGCTTGGAGAATTTAAGGGACTTGTGAAAGGTGACTCAATTGGTAAATGGCACAACTGGGACTGAAATCCAGGACTATGTAACATGAAAGGGCTTACAGAGTTTATCCTTACCTTGTCAATAGATTAACTAGAATAAGTCAAGGTCAGAATATCTGGAAATGTGATAATCTTGGGAACAGTTATAGGAGGGTGAGGGGCCCATCACAGAATACACACAAAATGCCTTCAATGAGTCATTTTCTAGAGAGTTAAAGCACCTCCCCGAGAGCCCAGCAGGCTGGCTTTGATTTGAGAACTCTGGTGACTCTCTGTTTGCCCTAGAGACCTGCTTTTCACCTTCTCTGTGCTGCTCTATGCCTGGGGAGGGCGACCAGTGAAAAATGAATCACTCTCACCCTCTGGTTCTGGTCAGGTTTGGCTAATGAGAGGCACAGGCAGAACATCAGAGGATGGAAGGAAAGACAAGTCAGGTCTTTGCCTTGGCTTCTTCCCTCCTGGGCTATGACTGAGTAGTGGCTGCAGTCCTCTAAGACCACACGTTCTGTCAGGTAGCCACTGGCACATAGTGGCAGTTCTTCCAGTCCTTTCCTTCACCCCTTCTGGGTTCTGCTTCCAGTCCTTTCCTTCACCCCTTCAGTCTAGTATGTAACAGCTCTCCCTTGTTGCTATTTTCTGTTGTTCCTTATCAGTTCCCTGAACCCATCCCATACTTCTGTAAATACTTCACGAAATTCCTCCTACTTGCCCATTGGAGTGGTCCATTGGTTCTTACTGGGACCCTGAATCACAGGCATTGAATCAGAAATTAAGCTAAGGCAACTCCATAAAATTTATCTGTACTGGTAGAACCATGCATTGGTCTCTTTACGATTCAATCTGCAAATTGCTCTGTATCCCTGAGTCAGAGAGGGCCAATGAAAAGTATTAAAAGCATCATTGCTGAAACTGGAGGGAGAGCTCAAATTAACTCACAGCTTCCGAACCAATGAAGAGTCCCTGACTTGCCATTACCCTCTGTGATCATTTTAATCAAGAGTGCTGGCCAATTAGTCACTGTTGCCTAATTTTTACATTTTGTCAAGTTGTTTCTTCTGTGAGTAAAGCAAGAGACACTTTGCTTCTAGTAATATCGGTCCTGAGTACCTTCCAGAATTTCTCTGTGTCTCATTTGCCCAGTCTAGGGTAGTTAGCACAGAACCATGGGCAGGAAGAGAAGGGCCTTCAGTTTTTCTCATACCCATCCAGAAAGCAAGCAAGCCTATCTCTAAAGCAGTGATGTTGAGCGAGGACAGAGAAGCACTTGACAAGAAATAGGGGGGCAAATGAAATATAATCTGTATCACTGTGCTGCTGAGTAAACCTGCAAAACTTCTTGACCTCAGGTCAACCCAGTCTCTCTCTCTCTCTCTGGCTCTCATCTGCCCTGTCCATAAAATGGAAGCAGAATGGGAGGTGATGGATAGGATGATAGCTGAAGAGCCCTTGGTGACACTCAAACTTCTTGGCCCAAGGCCTCTATCTGGAAGACAGCTTGAGAGAGTCTGGAGTATTCACAAACTCACCGAGACCTCCATGGCTCCAGGGACAAGTTCACTGGAGGGCAGCGTTGGGTGTTCATCTTCTCCATGGCTGGAGCCCGGGTTGGGAGGTTGAAGCAGTGGACTCCTAGGGAGGGGGCCTGACTGGCCAGCACCTCCGCCCAGTAGCAAGGAGCCCCGATGGCTTTCGTGGTCTCCAGGAAAGACTCCATCATCTGTGATTCCTTCAGGGAGTGAGAGATCTCGGCCAGGGGCCCGGAAATGGAATACACTGCTATGGCTAGCCCGGCGTCTTCCAGAGGTGAGGCCTAGAAAAGACTGGGCATTGCCCCAAAGGAGCAGGAAGGAAGGCAGGTTGGATGCTGACTCTCTGGCAACTCTAGAACTCAACATTTCCCTCGACTCATTTCCATTTCCCTGTCCTTATTCTCATAATCTTCCAGTAAAGGCACAGATCTAAGGGGTATTCTAGTAGACATGGGGAGGGAACAGAAGATTCTGGGAAAAGAAGATACTAGACAGACCTGGTGAAAGGCCAGTAGAGAGGGAGTACAGCGTGCTTAAGATCAGCAAACAGGTCATCATGGTCACGGACATGTCAGAGAATAAGCTTGTCACCTGGATGTGTCAACTGTTTGCCAGCCTTTGGCCAGCTAGACAAAGCTAGCTGGGTGCAATTGCTCATACTTATAATCCCAGCACTTTGGGAGGTAGAGGCGAGAGCATTGCCTGAGCTCATGGGTTCAAGACCAGCCTGGGCAACTTGGGGAGACTTCGTCTCTACAATAAAACCAAAACATTAGCCGGGAATGGTGGCACACACCTGTAGTTCCAGCTACTTGGAAGGCTGAGGCAGAAGGATCGCCTGAGCCCAGCAGGCCAAGCCTGCAGTGGCCATGAGTGTACCACTGCACTCCAGCCTGGGCAACAGATTGAGATTCCAACTTTAAAAAAACCAAAAAAACTAGACAAAGCTATCTTAAATTCCCTTTTCCACATGCAGAGTTGTGACCTAAGGAGACTATTATGGACACTGGTACTGGAACATACTTGGGAAGTAGTTGTTGAATGAATGAGTGCACTTCATTGTCTGAAAATTAGGTTGTACAATTCATTAGGTTCAGTCTGTATGAGTGTGAGAGTTTGTGTTGCAAAGGAGTAGACAAGAGCTTTACAGGGTAATGAGCTTCCAGGATCCCTTGAGGCAAACTTTGAACAGTCAACAACGGAGAGATTGAAGGAAGAGTTGCAGCTTAATTTCCTGGAAGAATAATGCCATTCCTCCAAATCAATAAACATTTCCCATCACAATCTTCCATTGAGGGAACTGTGTAGCTTATAGTTGCCAGAGAAAAAGAGCTAATTCATAGGACAGAGCCCCAGAGAGTTAGTGGACTGGATTAGTTAGTTCCATGACAATGTAGAAACTTGACCATTACAAACTACCAATTCTGTCCTCAGGCCATAAACAGTATTTCTAAAATCTCAACATTGATTTCATATCAAACTACTTGATTCTCCCCTTCCTTAATTCCTTTTATTAAACAAAATTGCTAAAGTGATCTTGTAACCTCAAATCCTCCTTACTTATTCCCTTACCCTACAGAACTGAAGTTTCTTTTCTTAATTTGAAACCCAATCCTGTTCAGCAACTATTATTGCAAACCCACTATTATAAATAAGTGCTCTTTGCCCAGAATTCACATCCAAGGACTATAGAACTTAAAAAAAAAAAAAAAAAATCCACAAAACCTTTCTGCTTTTGGAACAAAGGAGCAAACATGGCAAATTCATACTGAAGATGGGGTCACTGCATTCTTTGCACGTTGGCATCAAGAAAACTAATGAAGAAATTAGGAAGAAAATTTTGATCCCATATTTGACAGCCAGGGCCTCCTTGGCCATGCGTTATTTCAGAATTAGCCTATTTGACAAATAGTGGACAATAGCCTCTGAGTCTATGCCTTAGAATGATCTTAAAATGCATCATCCAAGCAGGTCAACTGGTTTTTTGTGAGTTCCCCAAAACCCCTGCTGAGTCTCTCCTTTGTTTTACATTCTACCTCATAGATGTTTGTCAGAAATTGGCTTTATGTAAAAACTGCTTAAGATCTACTTATCAGATGAACATACCTGGGAAAAGGTGGGGGGCGGAGATGCCTTGTTGAATCAACTCCAATCAATCAGTTAGCATTAAAAATGTGTCTCAATACAACATCAATAAGGGTACCTGATCTCAAATCAGGCAAAATGGGGACCAAAGGTAAACCCAAACTTTACCTGTATGATGACCACTTGTATGTCCAATCCTGAATTGTACCCCACATCTTTTAAATAAATAAATAAATAAGTAAGTAAATAAATAAATAGAGATTAGGATCCAGACACACAGAAGTATGACCATGTGAGGACACGGGGAGAAGACAACCATCTACAAACCAAGGAGGGGGGGCCTCTGAAGAAAAAAACTTGCCAATACCTTCATCTCAGACTTCCAGCCTCCAAAACTGTGAAAAAATAAACGCTTGCTATTTAAGCAAAAATAAATAAATAAATAAATGGAAAAAAGATGTGCCCAAATGGTGCCTCCCTGTTTTTGCCTTGAAAATACTCCTCCTCTAAGCCAGATGCGGTGGCTCAAGCCTGTAATCCCAGCACTTTTGGAGGCAAAGGTGAGAGGATTGCCTGAGCTCAGGGGTTCGAGACCAGCCTGAGCAACATGACAAGACCTCATCTCTACAATAAATCAAAAAATTAGTCAGGCATGGTGGCGCATGCCTGTCATTCCAGCTACTTGGAAGGCGGAAGGATCACCTCAGGCCAGCAAGTCAAGGCTGCAGTGGCCATGAGCGTGCCACTGCACTGCAGCCTGGGTGACAGAGTGAGATTCTAACTCAAAAAAATAAAAACCAAAATATTCCCTCCCAAACTCTCCCAAGTCTTCAGTTACTGCAGAACCTTATGTACTCACTCTTTATTTTTCACCTCAATTATCCCCTTTTCCAGAAAACCTTTCCTGATACACGCCCACCCCCATAAGTGTGGATGTTTCCTCCTCTGTTCCCCAAATACCACATACGTGTCTCTAACACAGTATTTAACACACAGCTGTTTTTTGTATCTGCCTCCTCCACCCAAATGGAGATCCTTGGAAAAGATACCACGTTTTAATCATCTCTTTATACCAAGCACCTAGTGGTGTTGAATGAACAAAACACAATTCCTCTTTTTTCCCTTGGAAGGTAAGACTCACTGGAGAGACAAGCATACACACCAAACAATTATTGGACATCCAGGTGCTAATCTGTGTGGAACAGACTGAACGAGAGAAAGTAAAGCCCAATTCAGAGTGTCATTGACATTTCCATGGAAGCTGTGATTCATCCTGCTTTGTGACTGCCAAAGGCCTAGTCAAATCCCCTTTGAGACTTTGTCTGAACTGTGCCCTGTGCATGCCAGGTGCTGCTCAAAAAAGGCAGAGCAAGAAAGAGAAGGGCACAGATTCAGACAAATGCTGAAGTGTGGGTGTGTCACTGAGGTCAGTATGTCTGCTAGGTTGTCTGTGTTTTATATGCACATATATAACTCTGGGGTTGGAGAGATCGTATTACAAAAAAGTAAAACATCCTTCAGGTGAGCATAGAAAAAGAAATTGAGAGAGAAATGAAGTAACAGAAGGCCTAAAAAATAGCCACGTTGATCCCCTTTTCCATACTATTAGTGTGAGATCCACCTCCCACAAAGGGGACATTATCTCTCAGGACTATGGAAAGGGCATATTTGAGGTACACAGAAGTTTCAAGGGTCGAGAAGGTGGTGAGAGGAAAGTTGGTGAGGGAAGGTAGAGTGGGAATCTTGGGGGTGGGATGCAGAAAGTTATGATGGGAGAACAAAATTGCTACAAGGTCTGGAGGTAAGCTGCTGAAGCCATTCCCAGGCAGGATTATGTCACAGAGAAGGGTGCTGAGACCTTCTGTGTCAACAACGGGCAACAGTTTAAGCTGTAGGGTCTGAGGCATGAGATCAGAAATTGTATTCCATAAATATGTACAATTATAATGTGTTAATTAAAAAAATAAAAAAAACTTGACAAATCAGAAAAAAAGTCATGTGAATGATTCCAGCACCAGGCACAGGGAACCCCCAGCTCCAGAACTGCAGAACAGAGTGTCAAAAGGAAGATGAACTTTGATGTCCTTTGATGTCCATAGACACCTCAAGGTCAGCACATTTAATCTGGGCTTCCCACCTTCCCTACAAACCTGGGCTCTTTATCCAATGCCCATTGAATTGCCCAGTCCTGAAACTTGGGAGTCACCCTGGATTCTTCTTTCCTTTTTTAGCATCTCACAATCCCAATCTTGTTGATCCCTTCCCCTAAAATTCACCCCTTTGCCCCATCTATAATTCCTCTGTTCTAGTTTAGGCCACTGTTTTGGAGGGGTGCTGGATTACTAAAACATCCTCCTAATCTCTTGCCTCCAGGTCTCTCCTTGCCACATATTTCTTCCCACATCAATCCACTGTCCTTGACAGTTGCAAAGGTGAATAATCTTTTAAAAAATTAAAAAACAAAATTTTTTTAGAGACAAGTTCTTGCCATGTTTTCCAGGCTGGTCTCAAGCTCCTGGCCTCAAACAATCCTCCCACCTTGGCCTCCCAAAGTGCTGGGATTGCAGGCATGAGCCACTGTACCTGGCCAAGGTGAATCATTGTTAGAGTGCAAACCTGAGCCCCTTACCATCCTACGCTGGTTGTAGGGTTCAGATTGAAGTGATTTGTTGTCTTCTATGGAGTCCTCTGATGTCCTTGGTTTCATTTTGTGTCTTCTTTCGTTAACATTCTTGGATGCTAAAGGCGATCCATCGTGGGAGCGGAGAGAGGCTGTGTCAATCCCCAGTGCTGCTAGCACCTGAGGAGAAAACAGCAGTTGTAGCCAACAGTATCTGGTTGGGCTTAGCATAAATGTGTCCCTAGACATGGGGTGTCATGAGGGTGAGGGATCTGAAACGGGGAAGGAAAAGGGTTAGGACCTGGGTGATGGTGGAGTTAGCACAGGGCAGGAATAGCCACCTGTGAATCACCTTCCAAATTCAGACCCTGCAATAGACTGTTGGTGCCCTTCCAGCTCCCTTCCACCAGGTCAGCACACCTATCCCCAGTTGCTTAAGTGGTAGCTGCTAACGTCTCCCACCTGTAGCATTCTGCAAAAAAAGTTTTAGGCTGGCTGCCCCTAGGGCAGGTATGGAGAATAGAAAAAGTCAGCTCCAGTGCCTCAAGGTAGGACTGACTTCAGTGCAAGTCACACTCCAGGGCTCCCCAGGAGATCAGAAGACAGTTGGTCTCCAGCTGAGACTCCATTCTTCTTCAGTCCCACCCCCTACCCCATCATGTTCCCTTCACTTGTCTTCTCATGAGAGCACTCCTTCAGAAGATCACTTGCATAAGAGTTCTCACTTGCACAAGAGTTCTTTTTTGAGGAAACCTAGCCTAATGTAGTCCCTGAGGCAAAACAAATTCTCCTGTAGTTCCCTAGAATTGCAGCTTTAATCAAGAGGCTGGATCAGATCTCTGCCCAATAACATACAGTCTGCAGGTGACTCCATAAATCTTTTGCCTCTCACAAACCTCCTGCTCTTTCCGGAGCATCTCGAGGGCCTCCTGGAACTTCTTTTCCTTTGCTTCAATTTCATCAATGGTTGCCTGGTTCTGCTCCTCATATGCCATGGTGACCACAGCCAAGATCAAGTTGACCAGGTAGAAAGATCCCAGGAAGATTACAAGTACAAAAAAGACCATATAGATTTTCCCAGAAGCCCTCAGGGTCTGCAGATTCAAGGGAAAGAAGAGAAACTTGTACCCGGAGCTTATGGGCCCCTGAAGTTGTCAGGCTCCTCTAGGAAAAATGTAGCCATGCAGCTGCCCCACCAGCCTCGCTGAATCTGTATAGGGACATGGGACTCAATACCTGCTGATAGAGGCGTTCCCAGGAGTCCTGCGTCATGAGGCGGAATAGTGAGAGGAAAGCCCAAGCAAAGGAATCAAAGCTGGTGTAGTTAAAATCCGGGTTGTCAGAAGTTTTAAGACAGATATAACCAGCAGGGCAGTGGCTGCAGCAAGAACAGAGAAGATCATCTGTTGCACAGTCCCTGTGTATTGTGGGTAAGGTAGCTCAGGACTGTGAGATGACCACAAGGTTTAAAGTCAGAGAGCAAAGTTCAAGGCCTGGTTTTTGTCTTATTGGACACTTGGTCTCTTTAGGCCTTCATTTCTTTCATCCATAAAATGGGGATGCTAAGACTTTTACTTCAGAATTTCACACACTGGGGAGTGGCCTGGGGAAGACCAGCTGACTGTCTAGACATGATTCCGTAGGGTGTCAAACCCTTTGCCAGTTCACACCAGGGAAGGGAGAATCAGCAGCAATAATGTGGACTTAAAACGTGAGTATGCTGGCATCCCTGCAGAGTTGTCTATCAAAGGAGGACTTACATTAGTCAAGTTCACTGACCAGTTATATATGACAATGGAAATAACACTTTTCACTCACTGAGCAATTACTGTGTGCCTCTCTTTCCCTTAAGTGATTCATCACTCTATAATTTAACCATCTCAATAATCTTTCTTTACAGACGAGGAAGCCAGGGTTCAGAGAGGTCAGTTGCCTGAAACTGAAGAAATATGATCGTCAAGTAGTAGCCCAATACTTGAGTCAGTTCAACCTTCTCCAGAAGACTGGCCTGTAAAGGAAGGCCAAATTAAGGTGACTGCCTGGTAAGTGTTAGGGAGAGAGGCGCAAGATTCCTCTCTCTCTCTCATAATAAGAAGGTGAGTTAATGGCAAGAAGTATCTGTCAGCTGAGGGCGTGTGAAGTGCTCTCATCTGTCCCCATGGAGATGGCCTGGTCAAAGAAACAGTAATGCCTTGCTTGAGGTTCAGGATTCTTTCACTCCCAGGATTCCTCCACCAACACCAGACTCTGGGGCTCTACTTATTCCAGACATCCATGTGAACACATAACCCCAGGACTCATGCAACCAATCAGAACTCTGACAACTTAATTATAATCAACTCCAGTTCTGTCTCCACCTTGCTTGGAGATTGTAAGTTCTCTGATTCTGTAGACCCACATTTATAGGCAAGCTCTTGGTGTGCTCTCCCAGGTGTGCTCTCCCAGGGGGCTAGTCAACTCCTTTCCTGTAGGTTTCCTAATTAACTCTAAGGGCAGCCCTATTTTTATGTCTCTGTAAAACCCCTCTGTGGCCACTGCATATCTATATCCACAGCTCACTGCTCAGTGTATTAATAGCTAACGCCTCTGAGGATTAATTGAGACCACTGTACAAAATCTCCCTCATTTCAGCATAGTAAATATTATTTATAAATATGCAAATTAAAATTCCCGCTGGCCGGGCACAGTGGCTCAAACCTGTAATCCCAGCATTTTGGGAGGCTGAGGTGAGAGTATTGCCTGAGTCCAGGGGCTCGAGATCAGCTTGGGCAACTTGGTGAAACCTCGTCTCCACAATAAATAAAAAAATTAGCCAGGTGTGGTGGAGTGTGCCTGTAGTTCCAGCTACTTGGAAGGTTGAAGCAGAAGGATCGCCTGAGCCCAGCAGGTGAGGCTGTGGTGACTAAGAGTGTGCCACTGCACTTCAGCCTGAGCGACAGGGTGAGACTCCAACTCAAAACAAACAAACAAAAATTCTTGCTGTTTTTAACGTCGGAAGCTACTGAATGGATGGACTGGAATAATACACGTGGAAGAATGCTGAGACCCATCGGGCGTCTTCTAGTATCTGTTCTCCTTGAGACCCCAGACTTTGCTCCCACATTGCCATTGGTCAGCCTGGGTCTTTGCTCAGGGCTCTGGCTTCTCTGGGGCCCAGTACAGGAGTCAGGTGTGGCCTTCACAGCATGCTACTTCAGGGATCACTCTGCACATGGTCCAGGACTGGCCTCTCCCTGCCACTGCCTGGGTGGAGCTTGCCCAGCAACAGGCTTGGCCTCTCTGGGAGTTGAGAGGCATAGGGTAGGGACGGGGAGGCTGTTGATGGATCTCCCTAATTTTTTGCCTCAAGTCTTTGGTTCACACCTTGCCGCAGTGGTCAAAGCAGCAGGCAGAGCTGAGGAGTCCTCATCCATTAGCTTTGTCTCACATTCTGTTCTGCCATCTGGAACGGCCTCCATTCAAACTATATCTTGTTCACTCAGCCTGGAGACACTCTACCTGCCCTTGAAAGTTTACCTCAAGCCAGGCGCGGTGGCTCATGCCTATAATCCCAGCACTTTGGGAGGCTGAGATGAGAGGATTGCCTGAACTCATGGGTTCAAGACCAGCCCTGGCAACTTAGTGAGACCTCATCTCTACAATAAATAAAAAAATCAGCCGGGCGTGGTGGCCCATGCCTGTAGTTCCAGCTACTTGGAAGACTGAGGCAGAAGGATCGTCTGAACCCAGCAGGTGGAGGCTGTGGTGGCCGTAAGCGTGATACTACACTCCAGCCTGGGCGACAGAGTGAGCTCCAACTCAAAAAAAAAAAAGTTCACCTCAACCACCACCTCCAGGAAGCCTTCCCAACCTTCTCTTTTGCCTTACATGGTCACCTGTCTATGCTTCCTCAGCCCATGGAGCCTCTAGCCCAGCATAGTGTAGCATCTTTACAAGTATGCATGAGAGACTGCAAACTGGTAGCCTACGAGCTGGGTTTGGCCTTCAGAAATATTCTGTTTGCCTCAATAAGATGTAGACAGTTTTTGGAACTGGTAGCCAATGTTTTTAGTTGGGAGATTTTATATAAAAATCTAAATTTCCTGTCTCTCATTTAAAAGTTGGAAGAGTTGGAAGCAGTGGACCATTTTTCCACATGGCAACCAAAAACTGGACAAGCATTGAGAATGGCTCCCTTTAGATGAGGCATGAACTCTTTCTCAGTTGTCAGGTTCCTACCTGGCCCACTCTATTCATTTGTTGTTGTGTGTCTGGCCTCTGTAAAAATTTGAAATAGCAAAATCTGATGAATGTGTTTCTTTCTTTTTTGTGTGAGGAGAATAAAGCACATACGATAGAGTTAGCTGTGATGATTAAACTTAGAGCATTTGACACAAAATCTTTAATAAATATTAGTTCTTTCCTGGAGTGAATGGTTTGCAAAAAGGGTCACAATTCTTTCCCTTTCTGTAGCCACACCTCTTTGCAATATAACTCTGCAGATCCTTCCACTGAGTGATGGAGTCTGTTTCCCCACCTTTTGGGTCTGAACTGAACTGTGATTTGCGTTGGCCAATAAAATATAGAAAAAACAACATTATTCTAAGCCTAGGGAATTCAGGAAGCTTTGCAGACTTCCACTCTTTCTCTTGGAACCCTGCTTTTGCCATGAGAACGGGCTCAGGCTATCCTGCTGTGGGGTGAGTTGCGTGGAGCAGAGACAGGGCATCCTAGACCACCTATCTCCTAATCTGTCTACTGTCTACTGATGCATGAATGAGCCCAGTTGATTCTAGCCCAAAACGCTGATGTACAGAATCATGAGTTAAAGAAATGGTTGCTGTCTTAACTCACAAAATCTTGGGACCATTTGTTACAAAGTGAAAACTAACTCAAACTCTTCCTCCGCATGAGCTCTGGGATGATAAATGGCATGGCTTATTTGTTTTTCCATCTTTCTCAGGACCTGCAACCCAGCTCTACCCAGAATATGCCAAAGACAAGATGGAGAAAAGACTATTGGGCATTGGTGCTTTGTCATATGTTAGACACTCACCCTGCGTCAGATCCATTGCCGCACAGTAAGGGATCAGAAGTGCCTTGCTTAATCTTGTAGATATCTGCTCAAGAAAGGAAGAAATGAGAGCCTCAAAGATGGTTCTAAACCCTCCAACCCAAGTCTTATGTGGCAAATACAACATTTCCTGGGTTTTCTGTCTGAGTGAGATGACCTCCCTCAGCTATGTGTACTCAGTGGGCATGTTGGGACGCTTGAAGGGAGTAAAGTCACATCTGAGAAGAGAAGAGCAATGATTTCAGTTCTAAGCTTCCCTCAGCAGAGGCAGAATTTACTTGTCTGTGGATTTATAGCTCACTTCCTTATAAAAGAGACACTGGGCAACAGGAAGTAGGATACTCGAAAGGAAAACACAACCCAAGAGAAGCATTTCAGCAGGAAAGCAGAATCAAAATATATGTCTCTACACATGCACAGGGACTTCATATCCCTTGTCCCTATGTCCATGCGGTCCCAAAACCAATCAGGCCTTAGTTCTTGTGGTAGAAATTCTACTTACAGTTTCTGTGAGATGAGTCGTTGGCCACCTCATTGAAAGCTGTGTCATTCCTGACACATTTGTTCTTGAGGTTGCCCTTGAAGAGCTGCAGGCCCACCAGGGCAAAGACACTCAGGCAGAAGATGGTGAGGATGGTCACATCCGTCAGTTTCCTCACTGAGTGGATAAGGGCTCCCACAATGACCTTCAGCCCTGTGAGACGATGATAATGATACTCCCACATGAATGAGGAAGCACAGAGCACACACTTGCATCTTAGTCACCTTCCCCCATGTCTGCTTACACCTCCCCATCTCTGTGTACAAGTACAAAGTATTTACACATTCCCGGGCAGTTCCAAGCCCAGTTTTTCATCTGAATCTTGTAATTACCCCGAGAGTCAGGCAGGGAAATAAGATTGTCTTTGTTATAAAGACGAGGCAACTGAGACCCAGAAAATAAATTCCTGACTGTAGCTATTTATTTAAAAAATTATTGTTGAGTATCTACTTTGTTCTAGGCACTGTCTTAGGCACGAGGTGAATAACTTTACTCCAGTCATTTGGCACCTGTCTTTCTGCACTCATCTCAGTTCTGGGAGGCAGCTCAAGGCTTGAAAACATGAACCTCACTCTGTGTGTGTGCGTGGGGGAAGAGGCAAGGGAGATAAAGCAAAATAAAGAGAGAAAAAGAGAAAGAGAGAGAGGAAGACACAGAGAGATGCATTTTTCATTTGAAACACTGAGACAATCACTGAGGGAGAAGCAGAGGCTCTGTGCCAAGCACAGCTGCCAGCAAAGAAGGAGTACCTGTTTTTTAAAGGAGGGATGACTTGTTGCTCTAGCAAATGAAATCAACTTCTGTGGGAGAGTAGCTTCACAGGTAGCAGAAAGAGCACTGAGAAAGGAAGCAACCTGGGGTTTATCTTTGTGGGGTTTTTTTTGTTTGGTTTTTTTTCCTAAGTTTTATTTTTATTTTACACTTTCAAAAGATGGAACAGATAGATAAAGTGGGACTAATTGTCCAAGGCCAGAGCCCAGCAAATTCAAAAGCAGACTTTTCTGACTCGAAGTTCATCGAAATTCTGGGGAAGTTTCAGTGCCGAGAGAAGACCAGGGAAACTCGTTACAATCCACCTCACAGAAAGAATTATACTGCTAACCTATCACCGTGTTCTAACTAAAGCAAAAGTTTAAAACTACAGAGAGTCTCAACTTAACATCTAAATTTTTAAAAGTAGCATTTCGGTAACAAATCAGCTCAGGGAGCTCCTCTCAAAAGTAGAAGAACAGAATGATTGCTCAGACTTCTGAAAAGCCAAGCTGATGCTCTCAGCTCCGCCCTCCGGGCTTAGACAGACACGTAGGGGGGCGGTGGCTCCTTGGCAGCGCCATTCCCAGTGGCATCATTGGACGGGGGTAACAGCACCGTCGTGTCATTGCTGGTAACGTAAACCAGGACGTCGGAGGAATTCCTGCCATTGATGTATCGGTAGCAGTTCCAAACACAGCTTATCAAGTAACCCTTAAACGTCAAGATAATGCTAATAAACAGAAGAAGAATAAGGACCAAACAGGTAGGATCCACCGACATGATGTCATCTCTGTAGGGAAAATTAGGAGGCAGCTGTCGTATGTATTCCTGAATGGATTTTGGATAAACAAGCACAGGGATTGCAACCAAGGTAGGTGTTCAGGGCAAAATCAAAGATCTGGTAACAGAAGAACGGGATGATCCAGACTGCATGCTGCTTGTATGCCCCGTAAGTAGCCATGGCACACATCAGGATCATGAGAAGAGAAATCACAATAGCAGTGCACATGTTGGCACCGTCCATAAACTCCAAGTCAGCTCCCAGTTCAGAACTTGAAAAGTGATACTGATCCGGATCAGCCAGGGCGCTCAATAAAATCAACAGTACCACAGCATTGATGATCAGGTACCAGAAAGCCGAGCGGGGTGGTGCCGGTGCGCCCATGGCAGCACAAGCAGCAGCTGTTGAAGTAGCCCCGCGTCCAGGGCGCGACCATCTTCATCCTTCCGGCCGCGAGTGCAGCGGCGCCAGCGCGCGCGCAGGTGTCCAGGAGCGTCGACCGCGTCGCCCGGGAAAAAAACGCGCGCTGCTGCCGACCGCTCGGCTGCTCCGGCTCGCGACCCGCCGCCGGCCCGCCGGGCTCCGCGTCCCCCCAGAGAGCTCTGAGCGGCTGCTGCGGCGGGACCCTGCGCTCCGCAAGTGGGGTTTATCTTTGGCTTGTCATTTGGGTCAACAAATAATCCACTGAGCACTACACATGTCAGTCTCTAGGCTGGGAGCTGAGTAATGGTTCAGGCACCAGCATGAAAATCCATAGCATCATCGAGAAGATGGACACGTAGAGGAGCAGCCCTTAACTTAAGCTCAGGGGGTGAGAATGGGATGGAGTGGATGTGAGGAAAAACCAGGGAGTCTCCTTGAGAAGCCCTGAAGAATGAGTATGAGTCGAGCAAGGAGAAGAGGGAAGACATCCTGAACACGGAGGCACAGACAAAGGCTGGGAGTTGAGCAAAGGCGTGGAGTATTTGTGGTAGATTCTGGAATACGATGCAAGTTGGGTAGAGGTAACAGCTGAGGCAGGAAGGGAATGTGAACAGTCCAGGGCTTATAAACAAGGCTTGGAGCCATCCTGGCTAAGAGTAGGTGAGAGAGATACTAAGGGTCAGAACTGAAGATCCCTTCATGAAGAAGTTTGTCCAGAGAGGGAAAGTTGGCAAAGAGCTTCCTGTCCTTCTCTGCAGAGCCAGATGTGGGATGGCAGAATGGACTTCCACTTTAGGGTGAATGTGTCTATTCACAGATGAGAGAATGGATGCTCAGGGATGAGGAAAGATACTCTCTCAGGCTACAAAAGGAAAGCATTGAGTCCCGTGGCAGTGAGTTTGCCTTGTCTATGGCCTTACCATCCCCACCATCAACCTAATGGGGGGCAGCAGTAGTCACTGGGCTATTGGTGACAATAGAGATCTTGGACGTTGGGGGTTGTGATATAAATATTGGTTCACCCACAGTTCCTGGCTTCTAACTCTCATAGCCCTTGTTACAGTCTTTTATTATAATGTTGGGGTGCTTTAGGCCTCAGGAAACAGAATCTCTCTTTACGATTTTCTCTGATCCTTCTTTCACCTGCCGAAAGTAGGATTCTAATTTGATTGTGGGTCAAAATACCCTCATTCCAGATGAGGTCTTGCCTTATACTGTGGAGGAAAGAATGCTGCACAGAGAGGCCAAGAAGAATCTGGACAGGCCTTGCTGGGTTTTCCCACTTACTCTGTTAGCATGAGATCATACCCTTTTTGTCTACATGGTTGTCAATCATGCCTATGTAATGAAGCCTCCATAAAAACCCAGGAGGACTGGGTTCAGAGAGCTTCTGGATAGCTGAACATGTAGAGGTTCCTGGAGAGTGGTGCACCCAGGGAGGGCGTGGAAGCTCTGTCGCCCCCACCCCACCCCTCGCACACCTTGCCCTGGCCTTCCTTCTCTTTACCTGTATCCTTCATAATAAACTGGACAATGTGTTTCCCTGAGTTTTGTGAGCTGCTCCAGCAAACTAATTGAATTCAAAGAAGGGGTTGTGAGAATCTCAATTTGAGGCTGGTCAGTCAGAAGTTTCAGAGGCCCAGACTTGTGACTGGTATTGGGAGAGGGCAGACTTGGGGACTATGACCTCAACTTATGGGATCTGACACTATCTCCAGGTAGATAGTGTTGGAATTAAATTGGAAGTCAGCCAGTTGGTGTCTGCTGTTTGGTGTGAGGAAACTGTTCCCTGCCTTTGGTCACAGGAGTCTTCTGTGTGAACGATTGTTGTGGTGGGGTATGAAAGCAAAAGAAAAACACAGTTTGAAAGTTTTTTTCTAATCAGAAGTACAATATGATGAGCTTTAGTGGATTATTTGTGTTTCTGACTTCTCAGTGATCAAGAATTGCCCAATTCTTTTTCTGGTATGGGGGTCCAAAGACAGCACTGGGACTCAAGTTTTTCGACTTGTGAAAATAGTGAAGCTCCCAGAACCTAGGACTGCTTTCTCCCTTCCTCCCTATTTTCAAGTTTAAACCTTTAGTTTAAAGTATAAATGAGAATTCAACTGGGGAACTTGCCTGAATGTCATATAAAGAACAGAAAATGAGGACATGACCCTCTTGTTCTTTATTGATGGTGAAGCCAGGTGCATGTGGACAGAGCATTAGTCTAGTAATCAGGACTGGGCTTTCAAGGCACACTACCTCTTACTAGTGATGAGGTCCTGGGATTGTGTTTTCTATACTCTGGACTTCTGTTTCTTTGTTGTTGTTTTTTTTTTGAGTTGGAGTCTCACTCTGTCACCCAGACTGAAGTGCAGTGGCTGTTCCCGGCCACTGCAGCCTCAACCTGCCGGGCTCTGGCTGTCCTTCCGCCTCAGCCTTCCAAGTAGCTGGAAACACACCCGGCTAATTTTTTTTTTGATTTATTGTAGAGATGAGGTCTCACCAAGTTGTCCAGGCGGGTCTCAGACCCACAGGCTCAGGCAATCCACTCACCTCGGCCTCCCAAAGCACTGGGATTACAGGCTGAGCCACTGAGCCCGGCCTGTTTCTTTGTTTTTTAGGTGGGGTGATAGTTCTTGCCCTGGAACCCTATAAAGTTCTTGTGAAAATGAAAGTGAATCGGGCTGTGAAAACTAACATATGTTTCTTGTGAATGAATGTGTGGGTTAAAGCCGCTCACCTGGGATTACACTAACTGTTTTTAAAGCTCTAAGAACTCTGAATGTCCGCAGGCCTGAGATCCCTCGGAGATCTATTGCTGTGCCAACGTATCTGTGGGACCAAAAGTCAGTCAGTATCTCTGCAAGGAGAGGGCTCTGGGAATGCATGCAGCATTAATAAGGACAATTTTGGGTAACATGAGCCCAAGAAGGTCTTAGAATAGACACTGAAAAATCTAGTGGCACTACCAACTATAGACTGATACCCGATACTGATTTCATTATTGCAATTTTTTTTTGAGCCAAAGTCTCACTCTGTAAGCCAGGATGAAGTACAGTGGCATAATCACAACCATCACAGCCTTGACCTGCTAGACTCAGGCAATTCTTCCACCTCAGGCTTCCAAGTTACTGGAACTACAGGCTCATGCCATCATGTCCAGCTTTTTATTTTATTTTATTTTATTTTATTTTATTTTATTTATTGTGGAGACAAGGTCTCCCCAAGTTGCCCAGGCTGGTCTTGAACCCTTGGGCTCAGGCAATCATCTTGCCTTTGCCTCCCAAAGTGCTGGGGTTAGAGGCATGAGCTATCATTCCTGGTCTCATTATTGCAATATTTTTTCAGAGGAGATCCTTTGAGAAGATGCACTGCCATCTAGGTGACTCTGTGTGCAAATGAGGGCTTGGCCAACCAGTCTCTTCAGACACTGACTCCTCAGGGAAGACCTCTGTGTCAGGAAGGCAGAGGCTGAGCCTAGTCTGATTCACTGTGGCAGGCTACTTATTTGCTCAGACTTGAGGGTATGGGACTCAGCTGGGGTAGTGCCTCCATAGCCACACTCTGTAGCAAGAAAGTCCCAGGCCATACAGTTCCAGATGAGGAAGCTAAACAGAGATGAGGAAGCATTCCCAGAGTATGAGACTGGGTATGTCCATAAGCCCCATATAGACACACATACAAACCAGTTTGGAGAGCTACTCACGCCAGGGAAATGACACTAAAATCCAGCCAGTTCCAAGGATCTCGCAGGTATGTAAACTCATTTAGACAAAATCCTCTTGCTAGTATCTTTATCAAGGCTTCAAAGGTATAAATGACAGTGAAGACATACCTGGGAAGAAGAGTGGAAAAGGAATGTTAACTGTGCCATGAGAGAGCTCAGGGGGGTTCTTCTGCCTCCAGGAGGGAGGCATGAGTTGCTGTGATTATTCCAAGGAAAAACATGCAAAGAACATCACCAAGGTGATGAAGGGGAAGAAGGAGACAAGATGCAGACTGAGGAGCACAGAGGAGCCACATAAAGGGAAGGAGTGGGCAGGGCTGCATGTGGCTGGGACAGTGGCAGCCTCTGATGCTCTGAAGGTAGGCAAAGAGCAGTGGCAGGTGAAGGACAGGGATCCTCCTGTTCTGTGAGACTCCCAAGGGTTCCTGCCCTGTGGAAAGCTGAAGGATCATCTCCCAACGTGGTGATGGCGGAAGATGTGGAAGAGAGATGATGCCCAGCAATATCCCTCCTCCCCAAGCGTCTCTACTTCCGACTGTCTTTTTTTCTTACACCATATCTGGTCTCCCAGTGTCATGGAAGAATACAGTATATAAATCCACAAACATTTTCTTAGGAGGATGGATCCTAATAGAGGAAGTTATCTCACGATAGCACGTGTATTGTGCAGACACATTATTGGGTTTGGATTTAAAGAGACAAATGTGGAACTGAGGTTGGGAGTAGAGTAGTGTTTCTCAAACATTCAGAATAACAAGTTTCCAACTGATGCTAACACTGCTGGCTTGGGGAACCACAATTTGAGAACCTCTGGCCAAGGAATTCAGGTGCCCACATAAATCACAATATGAGCAATTTGGGGTGCACTAAAATTTTTAATTATAAAATTATAAATATAAACACTGTTATTAAAGTTAGGAAGATTTTTTGTTATATGACCCATAGGATACATGTATTTACCTCCACCCTTTATGAAATCCTTTTAAAATCATAGGAAGCCGGGCTCGGTGGCTCAGCCTGTAATCCCACGCCTTTGGGAGGCTGAGGTGAGTGGATTGCCTGAGCCTGCGGGTTCGAGACTCACCTGAGCAGGCGAGACCTCATCTCTACAATAAATCAAAAAATTAGCCGGGCGTGGTAGTGCACACCTGTAGTTCCAGCTACTTGGAAGGCTGAGGCGGAAGGATCACCGGAGCCCAGGAGGTCAAAGCTGCGGTGGCCGGGAGCAGCCACTGTACTCCAGTCTGGGCGATAGAGTGAGACTCCAACTCAAAAAAAAAAAAAAAAAAATGATAGGAAAATGATTTTTTTTTTTTTTAATGAGTGGAAGTCTCACTCTGTCACCCAGGTTGCAGTGCAGTGGCACAATTATGGCTTACCATAGCCTCTGCCTTCTGGGCTCAGGCGATCATCTTGCCTCAGCCTGCTGAGTTGCTGGGACGACAGGCATATGCCAGCGTGTCTGGCTAATTTTTTGATTTTCTGTAGAGACAAGGTCTCACTATGTTGCCCAGGTTGGTTTCCAACTCCTGGGCTCAAGCAATCCTCCTGCCTTGGTCTCCCAAATGCTACTGTTACAGGCATGAGCCATCACCCCTGGCAAAAAAAATTTTTAAAGGCATAAATACACTAGGACAAAGGTAATGAAGAACACAACAATACCATTTTGGAAGCTGAGTGCAGATAATAAGTGGTAACTGACAGAGCAGACCTAAGAAAGCTGAAAAGTGGAAGTGAGGAGTACCCAGAAGCAAGCCAAGCTATACTGCAGAGATCCCAGAACTGCTCAGAACTTAAATATACCAAATGCCTCTGAAAGTGGAGTAAGAGGGAAGGTGACAAATGGAGTTGAAAGGATTGTTTGAAAGTTTTTATAAGAATGACTTGGTTTTTCTAGACTCTGCTTTATACCATCCATTTGGTGAGAAATTCTCTTTTGCTCCAGAGATGAATTGAATGTTTATTCTCTTAAGAGTTGAACGAGAGAGAGAGAGAGAGAGAGAGAGAGAGAGAGAGAGCGCGAGCTGGGTACTGAAATTACATATAAAGGAAAACGTGCATAATGAAAGGCAAACAACTTCCCTCTCTCTTTGCTTCTGCCCTTCATTAAGTTCCCAGAGGCAGTCGAGGTACAGCCCCTTAAATGTTGCACTTTTAATATGAACAGCCAGACAAGGAGCATCAGGAACTAGAAGGATGCTTCTAACATCAAAAACCAAAGCAACCAATCAGGGGGGAGGAGAGAAGGAAGTGAGACAATGCAGGGAGCAGAAGAGAGAGAGAGAGAGAGAGAGACAGAGAAAATGTTAATTTTTTAAAGACTTAAGAGGCGAGAAGATGCTGCATATATAAAATAAGAACATTAGCAAAGGTACCTGATCTCAAATCAGACCCAGTGGGGACCTAAGGGAGGTCCAAACTTTACCTGTATGATGACCACTTATATACCTAATCCTGAATTGTACCCACATCTTTAAAAAAAAAAAGACGGCTATGAAAAAATTTCCAAAGAACAGCACAGAATTTTGAAAACAAAAATATAACAGTAAAAGTAAAACACTAATAAGCAGATAGAAATAAAGTTTTGGAAATCTCACAGAAAGTAGAATAAAAAGCATAAATGGATCATAATTGATAAAATGTATGAAAATTAGATAATCAAACCAGTAGGTACAATTTCTGACTAACAGGAGATCTAGAAAGAAAGAGACTGGAGGAAATTCTCAAAGAAATAATTCAAGAAAAATTTTCCAAACTAAAAGATCGAAGTACTCAGTTAAAAACATCCTCAACAAGGGTACCTGCATAATGAACATTTGTATACCTTACCCTGACTTGTACCCCACATCTTTAAAATTAAAAATAAAAAAAATCCAAAAATGTTCAGAAAAATGAATGACAAAAAGGTTGCATCAAGGCATAACATCACACAGTTTTAGAACATCGTGTGCAAAGAGTGCAACTTTTTTGGAGGGGGGAACAAAACAATTTGCACACAAAGAATTGGCAATCAAAATATCAACAGATTTCAAAATAGCAACCTTAGAGATTAGAATACAATGAGCAATGCCTTCAAAATTTTGAGGAAAACACCTTCTAATATAGTAGTTTTTCCCCAACAAAACTGTCGAAGAAGAAGGTAGAATCAACATAATAACAGACATGAAATCTCAGAAAATTTTCTTCCCAGCCATCCTTCCAAGAAAAATCACCAGAAGGTGAGCGCAGTGGTAGTTATAGTCCCAGCTACTCAACTTGGGATGCTGAGTGGAGAGGATCATTTGAGTCTAGAAATTTGAGGCCATCAGGCTGGGAAACATAGTGAGACCCTGTCTCTTAAAGAGAGAGAGAGAGAGAGAGAGAGAGAGAGAGAGAGAGACAGAGAGAGAGAGAGAGGAAGTTACTAGAGGATGTGCTCCACCAAAACAAGGAAGAGAAGCATGAGATTCAGGAGAGAGGCAAGAGGAATCCAAATGGAGAAGGAAAAATCTTTAGAAAAGAGCTGTGTGTCAGGCCTAAAGAACACCTAGGTCAGAATGGAGCAGGAGGTGAAGAACTCTAGGAGTGATTTCCGCAGGAATAATTGGGATGAATGGATAACCTGATGCAACCAAATACATTGAAGCAAGAATTAAACACCTAGGGGGGAGATTTTGAGAACAAATTAAGGACAAGGATATAGAAAACTAAGCAAATAAAAAAATAAAATTTTTATTAACTCCAGGGAAAGCAAAAACATTGTACAGAAAGGAAGTGTAATCAAAGTATACTGTATGACCCAACTTTAAACAGTATTCACTTTCATATATGTAGTCAATGTACATATTACCTGACAATCTAACCAAAAATTATGATATAACTATAAAGAGCAGATAAGAGTGAGAGGAAATGAATGTGTATATGTGTACTAATTTCTCCCATAATTAGAACCCATAGATAACATCTGAAATGGAAAAATAAAATAAAGTAGCATGAATATATTATTGGAGACAGAGAGGTATCAGAAGAAAGAAGTTAAAAAAAGCTAAAAAGCTGAAAGCAATTGCTTCTGGAAAGAATGGATTAAAGGTAAACAGGTAAGGAAACTAAAGTTGCTGTTTTTTGTTAGAATCCTGGTAGAACTACATGAACATATATAACTTTTTTTTTTTTTTTGAGTAGGAGTCTTACTCTTTTGTCCAGGCTGGAGTACAGTGGCACGCTCACGGCCACTGCAGCCTTGACCTGCTGGGCTTAGGTGATTCTTTCTGACTCAGCCTTCCAAGTAACTGGAACCACAGCCCACCCCACCATGCCCAGCTAATTATTTGATTTATTGTAGAGATAAGGTCTCGCCAAGCTGCACAGGCTGGTCTCGAACCCCTGGACTCAGGCAATCTTCTAGCCTCAGCCTCCCAAAGTGCTGGGATTACAGGCATGAGTCACCATGCTCAGCTAAAACCACGGACATATATATCTTAAATAAAAGTAAAAATCAAATTAAAAAGTGAATAACAGTAATGCTTTTGCATAGCTGTGAAAGAAGAAATAGTGTTTGAAGTCATTCATGAAGAAATCTTTATCTGACTGCATAGCTGCTTGAGCTGTCAGCTTCCATATCTTGTTGGTTTCTCCCTCGTTCTTTATGTTTTCTAAATTAGAAAATCTTAACTCAGAATTATAGGTTGTTGGGAAGCTTTGACAGATATTTTTGGCTTGTCACATCAAACACAGACCCAGAAATTATGGAGAGAGTTCTTGCTAAAGCCTATTTTCAGTGTTTCACCAGAGGTCGAATGGCCCACCTCAACCTCAAGAGCAGCTAATGGAGTTGCATCCTTTCTCTCTAGTGGTATTTGGCTCTGCAAGGTATTTCTCTATATCCAGTTGCAGCACTTGGATATTATTATTATTATTTTTTTGAGTTGGTGTCTCACTCTGTCGCCCAGACTGGAGTGCAGTGGCCGCTTCCGGCCACCACAGCCTCGACCTGCTGGGCTCCGGCGATCCTTCCGCCTCAGCCTTCCAAGTAGCTGGAACTACAGGCACGCTACCACGCCCGGCTAATTTTTGATTTATTGTAGAGATGAGGTCTCACCAAGTTGCCCAGGCGAGTCTTGAACCCATAG